TGAAGCACATTGATACTGTAATTAGAAATATTAAGCCCGATCCCATCTGATCTCGGAAGCTAAGCAGGGTCGGGCCTGGTTAGTACTTGGGTGGGAGACCATCTAGGAAGACCAGGTGCTGTAGGCGTAAAAAATAAAAAAAATAAGGGATTATAAACTGACAAGGTCCTTGCAATCTGTGAGGTCAACCAAGGGTTGCCTTGCCTAAAAAAAAAAAAAAAAAAGAAATATTTAATATGGTATTGATTCATGATTCACAATATTTACTTAGCAATTAGCAATAGGTACCAGATTATATGTATATGTATACGTATATGTTTATCTCCAGCATGAGATATGTGCATGTGCACGTTTGTGGAAATTTTGGTAATGACAGTGGAGTTGACCGCTGACTAATTCTTGAGAGCATACGGATACTTACTGTGTTTAAAATACATGTCTGTGGACTGCCTTTGTATTTTGGCTTGATTTTTGCCCTTTACCTGGTTACCGTGGTGTGCTTTATTTTCTATGAGCATATCATATGTCTGTTATTTTGTTTCTTTGCTACCTGCTATGGTATGCATTGCTTGATTTTAAAAAGACAGTGCATTCTTTGAAATCCATGATGTTTTTGCTTTTCATTTTTCTACCCCAACACAAACACAGAATAGATATTCCATTTTAGGCTGAGGATGCTATAGATGACCTACACTTTGTTTTCTTACCTCCAAGAGGTGAAATGTTGTGATTTGCAAAGCCGTGAAAGGTGTGTCGACTTTTACATGCTTACTGTCTCTTTAAAAAAGAACTTCTGTCCTTTCACCTGTCTGTTTGCACGTGTTTCTCTTTCTCCTCTTTGCCTTTTCTTGTCCATGCACCTGGTGCTGTGCAGGAGATTCAGGAAGAACACAATGGCTACCCTTCTGAAGCTGAAGCTGAGCAGGTGGCAAGTTCTACGTGTTCATCTGTTTGTAGCTACAGATCGTGTATTTAGAAGCCATTTCATCCTAGATTTCTAGACGATAAGCAAATGCTTTTACCACTATAGTAGTGCCCTCCTGTCCAAGTTTGGTAGATTCCATTATGACATTATTTGCAAAAATTGGTTTATCCAACATTTTGTCAACCAGCAATTTGTTCACCTGTACTTCTCGGTTTTCCCACAGAGGGGTTATTGATGAGTTAATGAGCCTCAGTCACGACAGGATTCTCAAATGCCTTTACAAAGACTTAGAGGGGACAGATGCGTACGCAAAGGGTGCTCCTTGAGGGTGTGGACTTCGCTTCATTCAGATGAGCATGGTCTCTGCCCAGCACAGTGCCTCGTACTTGTCAGGTATTTGTGGAATGAGTCCGTGTAGTTCGTATTTATTAATCAGAAGAAAAAAACCTCATTCGAGTACCCTTGAGTGCTTATTCTTTGCTCAGTACCTCTAGACCCTCTGGAGTCTTTTAAAGCAACAGAACTTTCCCCAAAGCTCATGTAGAAACTCAGTGTGTTACAGGGGTAGAAGTGCCGCTCCAGAAAAATGTGGCAAGCCCCTGTGCTCAGCTGTGCCTCTGCCCAGCCCGCCCTCCTTTGGTGACTCTGGAAGCACCTCGAAGAGCCCAGTTTGAGAGCCACTGCTTTCAGCATGCAGCCATTATAGAAACTGCCCACCCGGCAGCTTAGATTCAGATGAGAAAGTAGCGGAGAGGCCAGGGACATCCCTTGGGCTCAGGTCCTCGGGGACAAATTCAGGGAGCTGGTGGGCCTTCAGTCGGACCTTCAGGGTCTCAGGAATAGGGTCTGGATGAGATCACCAGAGGGAATTCCTCAACTGGGCAGTGCTTGGAGCAAAGGCACAAAGAGGAATAGGTGTGTTCATCAGATCAAATTTCATTCACAAGAATATTCCATTCATTGATTATGCTGTACATGGGTTGGATAAATCAAGGGTCAAATCATGTCCTGTGCAACTTGGTAGTTGCAGTCAAAGCTTAATGTAGCACAAGTGTGAGTCCCATTTCCTAACACCAGCTTTATAAAAGGAATCTACTGTACTCACAAAGCAATGAGCCTTTAAAACTATTCTCCTCTTGAAATTCTATGCTAAAGTTAAATGTGTTTCCTTGAAAAAAATAAACCTTTTATGGGGAAATCTGAAGCAGTGGGATCATTTATTTGTTTTCTTCTGGTAATTGCTTTTTCATCTCTTAAAAATCACATCCCAGATTTAGTTATTATTAGTGAGAGGTTTGTCTCACTATGTCTCACCAGTACAGTCATGCATCATATAAATGCACAGGTATGAGACGTGGTTCCATAGTGTAGCGGTTAGCACGTCTGTTTTACACACGCAAAGTCCTAGGTTCACGCCCCGGTGGAGCCACGGTCCATGGTCTATGGCCATGCCAGCCTGAACAAGCCCGATGTCTGATCTTGGAAGCTCAGCAGGGTCAGGCCTGGTTAGTACTTGGATGGGAGACCACCTAGGAAGACCAGGTGCTGTAAGCATAAATAATAATAAATAGTAAAAAATAAATAATAGTAAAAATAGTAAAATAGTAAAAAATAAATCACAGGTATTTCAGGGCCAAATTCAACAAGGCTTTCGGAAGAGAAGAGAAACGTTTGCTCTTCATCCTCTATCCTGAGAGCCTTATACATTCTCAAAATGGTCCCAATCACCACTATCTCCCATCTGCAACATTCTGCTAGCTTGTCCTGGGTTAAGGACTTTAAGCTGTTTGATGTTTCGCTATAGGGCTTAAAACGAGCCTTCCTTCTCCCCACTCCTCACAGATACAGTTGATTAGAACAGCTTGCTTTAGTAAACATATTTCAAATTAACCAGCCACATTTATTTTTAAATATGAGTTAAGGAATTTAAGTCTATAAAATATATGATAATATTTAGCCATTAAAATGAGCTTTAACAGTGTAATATTTGAAGTGATGTAATACTTGGATTTTGATTAAAATAGTTTTCTCACTTTGTAACTATATTATAAAATTAGTCTCTAGTTCAGCCAATATATTAAAGAAAGCCAACTTCCAAATTAAGGCTTCTATTAAGATTTGTGATTTTTTTTTAGTGTTTCTAAAACTAAACGTTTGAAAGTATAAATATTGGTTTATGTTTTATTGTGTAAAAGATATATTTCTAAGTCAGGTATGAGTATAACCATGAATATACAAATACCTTTTCAAGTCCCATTTAATAGTTCTCTACATTCCTAAAATTTTGGGCCGAAAAGTGTCTTAAACACTGATCTGGACTAAAAATTCAAATGGAATGAAATTATTTGGAGGGAGTAATGAACCCTAATCTGTGTTATTTTAACCGTCTGTCTTGATGAGGAAGACAGACCCCATCATATTGTGCCCTACCCGTCTGTACAACAGACAAGCCCTGACCAACATTTAGCATTGAATTTGCTCTTTATATTTTGACTTTTTTTCTTTATTTAAAAAAAATTATGAAACTACCTTGTGTAGTGTTTTTAAATTGACCTTTAAGTCCCTTTAATAAAACGTAATGAAATATTCTTATAACTATGAAAAATAGTTATTTTGAATTTTCAGTAATTTCCGTTAGAATTATAAAAGCTATCAGTTTTTATTGTTTTGTGTCACGAAATCATGCTGAAAACTTAGTGATGTCCAATTTGTTTTCCGCTGAACACTCCTGATGTTAACAAGTCTTTTTTTGGAGAAAGCAGCCCCTGATCAAGTAGGTATGGGAAATGTAGCATACTCTAGCGCCCTCTTGCTGGTGTGGAGTGCATATTAACACACTAAAGACGTCTCACTAAAAACAAACAAACAAAAAAAAAACACCAAACACAGAATTTAACTTGTTTTCTTTATTCCTGCATTTCCCAAACTTTCAAAAACAAAAAACAAAAAAAAAAAACAAGACCTATTCACATCTCTTTGGGATTTAATACTGTATGAAACATAGCTTTGGAATCGCTGGGGGTTTAAACACCTTATTCTTATTCATGACACATTGTGTCAGACATGCCAAAGAGAAAGTGACCAGTTTCTTTGGCAGCATTTCAGGGGGTGGCAGTACCTTGGAATGGGCCCTGAGTTCAGGCTCTGGTCACCAGCTTTGAAGTTCGAGAGCACTATTTTCTCAGCTCCCCTGAGTTCTCTGGCACTATGTAACCAAGCTCACAAGAGACCGGCTACTGGAGCACAGTGCCGATCTGGACGTGAGAACTATGGGCGTGTACCTACATTTATACCCAGGCACTTTATCATAGCCAGCCATCCAAGACATCCTTTTCCTAGTATCATTGTAGCCAGAAAACCCAATACCTTATTAGCAATTTGCTTGATGAGCGTGGAATCAGCACAGAGTGAATTGGCTTGGGAGAAGCCTGAGGAACATACCACTCCACAGTCATGACTGAAATACTTTTGTCTGCCAGATGAGGGCGCGCTCTCTTGTGGCCTGGGTGGGATACACACTGATAAGCTCCTACACTTTGTGCACACACATGGTGTAGCTGGGCTGCAGTACAAAAGCCTAGGGCTTTCCTTGGTAATATCACTGCCCTGAGACCCCTCCCTGGCTACCTTAATAAGACTTCGAGGTTTTCCACGCTATCTCAGAGGCTGGGCCATTTCTACAGCTAGCTAAGCACCTACATCTAATGTTGATTTTATTTGTATTAGTTTCGTGTTCAGAAGGTAACCTTTTTTTTTTTTTTTTTTTTTTACTTTATTTCCAAATTCTGGAGGCACCTTATAGTAGCTGTCTGTATAGTGATTAAAGTATCTATCTGTCATGTCAAGCCATTTCTGTATTAATGCTTTCTAACTGTAAACTTTAAATATATGTAATAATTTGCTAGAATATGCGGCATGGTGTCCTGTGATGCTGAGCTTTGAAATTGTCTTGTAATGGGTGGGGGCATACATTTCGCACGCTTCTGTAGCTTTGTAGCGAGAGCACAGAACAGTACAATTCTTCCTGGGTATATAGATAGAAAGTGAGACTTACTCCTGTTTGTCTTTTTGCCAGGCTCTAAGGGATGGAAATAAGCTGGCACAGATGGAAGAAGCACCACTTTTTCCAGGAGAATCGATCAAGGCCATTGGTAAGTTTAATGCATACACTTTGCTTATGGAGATCCATAAAATGACCCTTTCCTTGTGAGCACCGGTGGTGTATGTGCTAAAGATCGGCCAAAGTGATTAAATTAGGGGACAAATGGGCGAGGTCTATTCATTCTTATTAATGTGCTTATAACCTTAAGAGACTGAAGACTGTACAGGATCACTTTAAATTCCGATGAGTATTAGTTGGCATTACCAACAGAAGGGGGCCCCAACTTTTTCTGATGAACTGAAGGCTGATCAGACACTCACTGTAATGTCAATTCCACTGCTTTCTTGGATTCCTTCACTGTCAGGAAAATGTATCAAGAAAGCACAATTTTGGTGCAAGAAAAGGGCATGTGTTGCCAGCCTGGATTGTCAGGGCGATGGCCTGAGGGCTCCCACATCCCCTCACCGTGGACTAGCAGGCATTTCAGCAGGCAGTCCACTGCGCTGTGGGTGAATGGGTGGGCAGCTGGGTGCGCTGTTTTCACCTCTCAATTGCTGGGGTTGGGGAGGACAGCCAGCTTTGCTAAGTTGCCTTCTTCCCATCCAGAGCAGTCATCTTGTGTCAAGAACGTTTGAGTTAGCAGACTCTTCTACCAGGGACTGCAAACAGCAACCCCCACTGAATAAATACCTCATCTGTGTGGCTCTGGACCCTGCTTATCTTGTCCTTCATTTTGAAACTCTTTCTTTGGCTTCTGGAACTTCATTCACTCCCGGCGGTCCTCTGGCCTCTGGGAGTTCTTCCAACCCTGTCTCCATGCCGCTTTGGGGACTGATCTGTTTAAAACGCAGAGCTAATTATGTCATGCGTCTGCTTCTTCTGCTGACATCAGACTACACAGATTTAAAGTGAATATGAAGAGTTTTGACACGTTATATGCTTGAGGAATCCATTATCACAGTCAAGATAATGAACCTATCCATCTCCTCCCAGAAGTTTCTTTAGGACCCTTTATAAAGCCTCCCTCCCATGCCTTCTCCCCATCCCCAAGCCCTACAGACTAGATTATATTTTCTAGAGTTTTCTAGAAATGTAACCATTGAGTATATTCTCTTTCTTATCTAGCTTCTTCCACTCAGCATAATTTTGTTGATATTCACCCATATTGTGGCATGGGCCAACAGTCATTCCACTTTATTGCTGAATAGTATTCTATTGTATGGATGCACCACAGTTTGCTTGTCCCTTCGTCTGTTGATGGACATTTGAGTTGTTTCTACTGTTTGGCTGCTACAAATAAAGCTGCTGTGAACATTCATGAACAAGTCTTCTCTAGCCTCATGTCCCATCACCCTCATGCACTCTTGGATCGGGCCGCACTAACCTCCAACATCTGGCTACTCACTCCCTCCTTCTTTCCTCCTCTCCCTCCCCTGCTTCTCTGCTGAGTTAAGTTGATCCTTTTCTGAGCTCTTATCACATCGTATCCGCATGGCGATGATAGCATTTATCAGACTGTAGCGTAATGGTCATTTTCTGTGTAGTGTCACTCACAGGTCACGGGCTGCTTGTGGGCAGGAACTGTGTCTAGTTATACCTAGAAGCCTAACAATAGAAGCCACTCAGTACATAATGAGTTAGAGAAAAGTTTAACAGAAGTTTTTGGGTGGATGACAACTTTAGTACCTGTAATTGTTCCACGTGGACTCACCTGTAGTGGTGCACGTTCCTGTCATTCCAACGGAATGGCACTTTGGGAAGATGGCAAAGATGTGGTACCTTTGTGAGAGGTGAGGTTCTTTACACTCATAGGAATCAAATATGTTGTCGATATCATATTACATATGCTGATATTGATAGTCACAATAAGAAAATAATCAATATGGAAGGTGATAAGGAATTTGAAGCAAAGAAGTCTTTTTTCACTCCCTTGATGTGGTCCTGGTTTTTGTCATCTGTGAAGCAGCTGCCTCTGGAGGTGCCTTAGCAGACAGTTTTTAGCTGTAGTTTTCATTAGCAGTAATTTTTTAAGTGGTAGCCCAGAGTCTTTAGAGTTTAATTAATATGTTTTTGATATGATTAATTTATCACCCAAGGAGAAAGTTAACCAACCTGGAAAAAAGCGACAAATGCAGCTTATTAGGAGGCCCTTTCCTTAAAACCTCATTAAGTAGCAAATTAGAATTCTGTATAAAAAAATAGAATTTTATTAGAAGACTATCCATCCGTCTTTATTTCAAGTAATAACAAATTTAAAATTCTTAGGAAACTAGAATCACAGATATATATATTTGGAAACTAATGTTAAGGTGTCTTGAAGCACAAGCTGCTACTTTAAGTTTTTTCTTTCAGTGAAAGATGTCATGTATATCTGCCCATTTATGGGAGCCGTGAGTGGAACACTGACAGTGACGGATTTTAAGATGTACTTCAAAAATGTGGAGCGGGTGAGTTTTGTAAAGTGCGTTTTATTTGTAAAAACGCTTCAGAAGCAAGTAAACAATAAAGGAGTTAGAAGTACCCCCAAATCCCAACACCCTGAGGGAACCAGAGGGTGAGTTATAAGACATGCACATTTGCAAACCGATTTTGTATCTTGAAAAACAAAACAAAACGAAAGGCTGTTAAAGTAGCACTTAAACCTGGAGGGGAAGTTTAATTGTAGTCTGAACATGTTCAGCAAGCACGTTAGGAATCAGACTGCAGTTTCTTAGCGGGGGCAAACAGGAAATGCGAAGTAAAACAAATGTGTTTTCAGCCAGCAAAGACTTAAAATATGAAAACTCTGTTGACTGACACTAATTTGTAAACTCAGGACCCGCATTTCGTCCTTGATGTTCCCCTGGGAGTGATCAGCAGAGTTGAGAAGATTGGAGCGCAGAGCCATGGGGACAATTCTTGTGGTATAGAGATCGTGTGCAAGGTATGGTGCCAACATCGGTAAAACTGAACGGGGCAGTCAGCCAGGAACTTTCTCTGATACCCTTTTCCTGGACTTTTTTTCCAGTCAATCGTACTGTTAGGAACTGAGAGGTTTTCAGGACAGAGACCTCTTCAGATGTTGTGTCAACCAGCTCATACCATTATGTGAGCCCTTGAAGTGAACCTCTTCCTTCCTAATGAAGCATTCTAGTTAGCATGGACCTATAACCTACCTGCTGACATTATCTGTTACATTTCAGAGAAATCAAGTGAGAAGCACAGGTCCATATTTTTCCAATTTGTTGTTTTAAGACTGCTCTTCAGAACAGTGGTTGGTCAAAGACTTCCTAAAGGGACAACAATACAGTGACCCTTGAACAATGTGGGGCTTAGGGCCACCAACCGCCCGCACAGTCGAAAATCTACATATAACTTTAACTGTCTTGAACTTTTTAGTATATGTGCTGCCGAAGTGAGCACGACTTTCTTTAACTTTTTAAACTTTTATTCATCTTTTTAGTTTTTCGATTACAGTTGATATTCAGATTTATTATATATTAGTTTCAAGTGAACAGCATAGCGGTTAGACATTTATATAATTTACGAAGCGATCTCCCCAATTAGCCTAGTACCCACCTGGCACTACACATGGTTATTACAGTATCATTGATGATGTTCCCTGTGCTGTACTTCACATCCCCATGACCATTCTGTAGCCACCAATCGTACTTCTTAATTCCTTCGCCCCATGTATAACTTTTGACTCCCCCAAAAACTTAACTACTAATAGCCTACTGATGACCAGAAGCCTTACCAGCAACAGTTGGTTAACACATATTTTGTATGCTGTGTGTATCACATACTATATTCTTACACTAAAGTAAGCTTAGAAAAAAAATTAAGACAATCATAAAGAAGAGAAAATACATTTAGAGAACTTATTGAAAAAAATTTGTGTATAGGCGGAACCGCACAGTTCAAACTCATGTTATACAAGGGTCAACTGTATTCATAAATACCGTGATTAAAAACACAATTAAGTCTCTTGGCTATGTTGGAATTTTCACCTGACCTGTGTTTATTTTTGGTTTTGTTCCCATCCTCCAACGGGTTAAGTAGCAGTGTGTGTGGTAACTTTAGTGGCGACTAGTCCCTTAAGAAACACCTTAACTGATGTTTTTATTGAAAATAAACAACCCTCTCTGAAGTACTGGGAAAGGGGTCCTGCCTGCGGAATCATCGCGGTCCCTTCCAAACTTGGGGATTGGATTCCTGCCCATCCGTTTGCTTTAATTAGATCTCCGAGGACAGCTCCCTCTGGTTGGCCCTAGACTGCAGTTGAATTACTTTAAAAAAAAAAAAAAAAAGCCTTTACTGTTCCAGGTCACAAGTCTGCCGGTTCACTGGGCTCGCTGTGGGCACTACGTGGCTGTGCTGGCCCGTGATAAAGTGCAGTTGTCCCTTTCAGGCCACGGTTCCACATGCACAGGTTCCACATGCACAGCCGTATGAAGCAGCTGCAGAACTTCAAGCAGAGGGGTGAATTGATCAGCTCTGAAATTTTTGAAACATGTCATCTCCCTACTAAGAGCTCTTCAGTAGCTTCCCATCACCTTTAGGCTTGAGAGGAAACTCACCCATGGGTCTGAGTCTGACTTCTTTCTCTGCAGCTTCATCCCCAGCCACCGTCCCCTCATTCCCGCCATCCCATTCCTTTAGTTGCTCACAGTCGCA